CCCCGGGGTAGCGCTGGAAAAAACAGCCAACCCCCCCCGGTACGTCAATTACCCCCTGGGGGGGTTGGTTTCAGAGAAAGAAACGATCCCCTCCCCGGCCCTCCCCGGGGTGGAAACTCCGCAGTTTACGGTAGTACCACTGCAAACTTCAAACATATTCAAGAAGAACGCAAGACTATCAGACAAAACAACAACGGTCCCTATCAGCAAAACTTACCCCGGGAACAGGCACGCGCCGTTCTTCAGGCTCACCACCCCTTTTTCCTCGCGATCGGAGCAGCCCTGCTGTGGTTTACCAGAGCCTGACAAGCCAGGACGCGCGGTGAGGTAAAGTTCGGATGATTTAGAGGAGAGGGCAAGGGACCACCAATTTGCCTACGGTAAGGGGCAAGACAGGTTCAAAATGAGACATTGTTCAAGTGCAGTGGAGAGCCTGGGACACCTGAAGCGCCCATGCCTTCAAAAGTGGTCTACACACCGATGTTTTATTGATTTCAAACCGCCCGCCTTACTATTTAGCAGCTTGAGAGTAGATTTCCTGGTTTCTTGCAGTTGGAACGCGCTGACCACTTGCACGTGAAAACAACGGGTCAGTCGTGAAAACGCCTGGAGAATCGGTCCTCAAACACTACTCCTGCGCAGCTTTCGGAGTTTCGGAAAATTGGTAATAAGATTTTAGTTCGGGATGTATGTAGAGTACACGGGATTTGCTGTCGAACAGGTCCGGAAGCACACAAAATCTCCTGCGACACGTTTCTCGTTCAACAACCAAGTAGGTGCAGCCGGTACACGTGCAGCTCATTGTTACATGCCGGCGCGCTGTACACGAAGTCGGCCACGGCAGCACAACGCTAACTTTGATTGGTATCTACCCCCAACCAAAGCTCAAGCAACAGCTCGGGGAGACTCTACCGGAGCCGCCATCCCCGGAGACTACAACACGGCACGTAGAGTGTTGCTCGCAAAAAATATATTACCGGGCACAGGAAGCATGGTGGTGGCCTCCCGGGGAGGGGCGGAATCGGTGGCGGCAGCAGCAGCGGTGGGAGCTGTCTCTTCACGGTTTTGAACAGGTCGAGATGCAGGTTCAGACACTGAACCGATGAGACAGCACGTGGACCGAACCAAAAACAGGAACGATGCAGTTTGAGGGAAATAGAGATCAACGTCGAAAGTCGAAAACAACGTGTACAACGTTGACCAAAGCCGGCTGCCGGGGGGGGGGTGGGGGTACTCATTGTCGTGCATGCCGTAGTCGATAGACCATTGACCTCGCATCCCCACAGAGCCGGGACGGAGCACGCCGGTTTCTCACTGGGCTCTAACATCACCAAGTGCGAAGCGCTGTGAGGCACAAAAGGTTCGCTACATCCTAATAAGGATGTTCGGCATCTTGCGCTCACTTGCTTGCGACGGATGACAGGCGGATAAAATAATTTTTTACTGTTGCTTTTACTTCCAGAGACAGTAATAAGCACTGCTGTGTAACTCCCTCGAGGGTGCTTGACCAATTTGACACAACGTGATGCGATCATCCATTTGCGCGGAGTGAAGGTTCTCGACCCCGCACAACATAGCCTACTCGACCACAACTACGGTTATCAAAAACAAAAAATGCACACAAAAGCGGTAACCTGTTTGCCGAGCTCACCAAGTGATCGGCTTATTTTACAACGTGGCGGTCGTCGGGGGGGCAACGAAACGCGTCATCATCGTACGGCTACACGGCTGGGCTAGTTTACAGTGGGCGCGCGGCGCAGCATGCATGCTTCCTTTCTGCAGCATCAAGTTAGAGCTCTCATCATGGCGTCAGGCATCCAACCGTCCGTGCCGTTTGATGGGGAACTGTAACATGCCGCCCTTGGGGCTGTTTACAGTCCCCACGGCGGAGAAAAGACCCGGTCAAGTGCCCCGGGCATCTTTGGTCGCCTCGAAGGCCATGTCCCAGGCTGCAGGGGAGGTGCGTGATGCCCACGAGCGTAACAAGAGGTATGATGACTGACCGAACCCGTAACACTCCGTGTTGCATTCGCTCACCTACAGGTTTAGCGGCAGCGGTCGCGGTTGGACCGGCAGCCTTCCTGAAAACTGTTAACGGTAGCACACGTCATCCGACAAGCAATACGGTACGATGGAAAGGGCAACGGAAAATATCACTCTAGAGCTCGTGCTGGTGGACATGCACCGTGTTAAATCGTCCACAGGTCAAAGCCCCGGAACTCCATCTTGTAAGTTCTGAACAACAACAACGTCGTCCCGCTAATCATACCTCAGCCAGGGTGAGCATCCCCAAAGCTCTAGTAGGTGAGCTGTCCAACATATCCCCCAGAGTCAAGACTCACCCCGCCCATCACGCGTTGCCATGAAGAGCTCGCCGCTGCGATAGGTGTACATCCCGGCCCTCTTGTGGCCCTGGCAAAAGCTCTGGAGACCATTGCGAGGCCCGTACCGAGGGGTCCCGTCGCACCCAGCGTACTGCAGCGCACCCGATTAGAAGAAAAGTGGGCCACGCAGCACGGGGTGTTTTCCTCCGTCAGTCAAACTCAGTCTGTCGTGCGACATGATAAAAGTAGCGATGGGTCTCGCCTCTACCACATCAGGGCACGGCAAGGGTCGATACAAAGCGCGCTCTGCGCTCGGATCCCTCCGTGACATTGCAGAGGCCGCAAGATACGCATGAGTTCCACTTAATCAGCCTATCCCAAGTCATGGATACCGGAAAGCTTGCTATCACCAAGGCGGTAAATCGCGCTTGAGCAGTTGATTTACTGCGTCAGAAGGAGATGGTGACCAGCAATTACCTCGCAGCGCTGGGCTCTCCTCATTGTAGCGACGGACTGCGCCGGCCCCTTGTCCTCCACGCACACGCGGTGGATCAAGCCATCCTGGGACGTTTGGTTGTCTTCGGCCATGCTTTGCACCTGTACAGTTGGAACGAACAGCGAATCGATCCTTGGATTTGAAACGGGGAGTTCGCCTTTGGCGGTGACATTTAGGATCAGGCTTTTATTCATCCATGGCTCGCCTTGGAAACCCGCCAGAATGTTGTTCGTGTTGGGCAAGGGCGGTGGCCTCTCCTTTATGTGCTCGACGCTGGGTGAGGTTTGTTTCTGACGGTCAAGGGACGGAGGTGATGGTTCTGCGTTGGTAGTAGACATCAGAGAGAAACCACAACAGTCAGCGACGACGGTCGAGCGCATACGGTGCTTGCAGTTGCCATCGGTGGCACCGCGGGGGCTCGCGGTTAACGCCGTGTACGGAGAACCGCTTCCCGCAACATGCACACGAATCTCAGTCCAGACACAAATTCTCCTTGTTCCATTTCGGTAGTGTTGCTGTTGTCGAGTGGGGCAAGACTCACTGTCCTCGATTATGATTGTTCCCGTAGGGTGATGGAGCGGGAGACATGAAAGCGTTAAATTTTGATGGCGCTTTGCTGTTGAAGTGGGGCAAAACTCCGGGCTCCAGCCCAACTCTATGGTCTGAAGGGAGGGGATCACACTGTTTCTACAACCGCGACATCTGCCTTTCTTCCCCAAGAGGTACCACGGTTTCGGCAAAGGTGGGGTTGGTCTGCTTTTGTGGAAATACTTAGAGTTTATGGAGGCTGGAGGTATTGCACCGAAACCCATTAGTACCAGTGGCAGCAAGTGGCGGTATGATCGGGCAGCGCCACTTACAAGATGACGAAAGACGCTAAAAATATGCCATGCAACACCAGACCCTTTGATTTGAAAGCGACGGTACACGGCTTGAAGTAGCCAAGCAGCTGAAGCCCTGGTGGAAGCGTGCACAAACCTTTGGGCTCTTGGAGTGGACTACTTCAGGCGATCAGGGCCAAGGTGAAACGGTCCACGTGACGAAGTGGGCTGTCGATCTTTCACCGGAGAGAGGTTGGAGCCGATACTAATGCTACAAGGCAGCAGGCAGACCGAATATCTAGGAAACCATACCAAAGATGCAAGGAGGGACGGGTGGGATGGGAGGTTGGAAGGGAAGGGTGGTGGCGTGGGGAGGACGCTGGAAAGAACCTTCAGCTGCTGGAGCATGAAACGGGTGGTGTGTAATCGGTTGTTCGAGGCGTTAAGGCATGGTCTGCGCTGCATCTAGGAGAGATAGAAGACGACTTCCTTGCGAAGGCGACGGAGAGTGTCAGCTACAAAGAGAAAGGTGAAGGAGAGGTGTTGTCTCGTTCTCGAAAGGAATATCATCCAGCATAGTACCACGACGTTAAGGACTGAGGGCGGGGTCGTTGACGTACTAAGCAAGACAACCCGATGGTCCTGTACATGTACGTACCTGGAGCTAACGACACAGTCTTGAGTCAAGGAAGCATGGTGGTCGATTAGACTATGCGTACAAGGACGGTACAGACACACCGTTTGAAGGCCTTTCGGCTCTGCTAATTAGCCATGCCGGTCGCCATTACTGCGCACACAACAGCACCAGTAGTCGCGTGTGCAGCACCACGAACGAAAATACGCGCTACCTAACGCTTCCACAGATCGGCGACGGTTTGGATTCAACATTACGCCACCGCCAACCTCGAGAGGAGAAAACCTGCGTGCTGCGCATACACGCACACTTCTCCTTGGCTGTGCTGTAGTACTGTATGCAAAGATCATCCGGCATTGTGTTGCCATTAATCTGCAGGTACGTGGGCGCGCATTGGTACACGAGACAACCCCATCGATGTCAACCAACAACACTAGCGCTAGAGACGCTGCGCAGTTACGTACAGTCTCGATCACCCGATACTCTCGCCATGGTGCCGTGTTTTGTCCTACCACTTCCAAGACACAGCCCCTTCAGCGAGAGCGTGAGCGAGGACCAGCAGGGAACGATCAACCGCACCACAACGAACGTCACCCTCAGCACAGAGAACGCGACGGAAGCGAAACATGTACTCCTACACTTCTGTGCGCCCACGAGGCGTACGTGAGACATAAACCCTCCAAGCCCCTTCTGTCATGTTGGGTTCGAGTTTTCTCCGCGCATAGGTGAGGGCCAAGCCGGGCGCTCAGAGCTGCGCGTGCTTTTGTCTGAGCTCTACATGTACGTTGTACAGGTATTGCGACTCTCCGCTTGTAAGGCTACGTACACGATCCTGCACCACCGTTAGTACGGTGCGAACTTGACAGATTGTGCACCCACCGTGGCGGTTCCACTTACTGCAGTGAGGCCTCTCTAATATAGGCCAAGTGACCCCTTGCGCCCGTTGGTTATGTCACCATGAGGAACATCAACCCCGGTGGGCAGGCGGAGGTGACGTGACTGTGTGATTTTGGTGGTGCCGACAGCGAGGCTCGCTCATGAAAACATTCAACTCTCTCTCCGTACCAGCACCAAAACAAGAAGCTTACATTATTTCCCTCTCGCCTCTCACTCTCCGAACGACGAAATACAATATCTTTGTAGTTTCTAGGCAGTGATGCACATATTGATATTGAGGCATAGACTACTCAAAACGATTATAACACCAAACGACCTGCTGTTTGAGTTGCACACTCAACACGCCTGCCGCTTCCGCGAGATGATTGGGTCGGTGAGAAACGCGATGGGCGAAGACGATCCAGGGTGTGCCTTGGGCCAGATTCCCTGCCTTCTTCGTAGTCGCTTGTGCAGAATCTGGTGATATCCGACGTCTTGGAGAGGAGTTTGGGCGGTGGGGGCGCTGGTACATAGAACAGGGCGGCGGTGTGGCAGCCTGCGTGAGTGAATTTCAAAAAAAAAAAAATGAAGGAGGAGACGCGGCGTGTTTGGTGCCGGTTCGGCTCCACTGCTGTGCAGCAGTTAGAACAGCTGTACAGCAGGAGCGATTTCGCATGCGCTCCCGCTCCCCTGCTTCTCCAAAAACAGATAGGACGCCGTTCCCGGGGGCGTGGGGCTGGGTTCGTCCCGGATTTTGAATGGGGTACCTATCACAGGGCTCTTTCTTTGGGTGACGCCAAGAGCTTGCCGAGGGAAACCTGCCGCGACACGCGCCGCTCGCTGATTGGTTACAAACAACCGCGGTTTTCGTCTCTGTTTCTCTCCGGCAAAGATGAGGCGGATCTCAGTCTCCACGCTACAATTATAGATACAATTGTAGATAGTTTTATTTTCCCGAACGCAACACAAGTCTGAATGAGGCGAGGCGGTGGGTAGATTATCACTGTATATGCTGTGTACAGTCCCTGCGAGTGATCACAGTCGGTGAAAGAGGTACTGGCTGCTGGTAGGAGTAGACTATACTGTTGCAGGTTACAGCAGTACATGTATGCAAATAAATGCAAAATAACAAGGAAACCTGAGAGGGACCCTATGAAAGGCGTGTTGTACGGAGCGTTAGTCTGCTACGCGCAGCCAACCCCTTCGAAAGTTGTTTTTTTTTTCTCCCATCATTGGAGGCTGTCGTCTGCCCCTCTGGCCCCTATTCTCAAATTCTACTAGCTAGACGCCCAACGGGGGTCACATAGGAGGGGGGGGGGGGCTGGACCCCCTCCTGCGGTTCCTGCCTGAGGTATTTTTATCGCGAGAAGGGTACAGCAATCCCTTCCCTCGCGACTTATGAAGTCGATTATGGTTTACTATCAACGAGCTTCGCAACGCGTTGCTTTCATCCTAGACCAGAATGTATTTAGTGAGAAAATAATTCACTCTGCCGGGACTCGAACTATGACCTGGCCCGTAGCAGGCTGCTAGGTTACCCACTAGACCACCGGGGCGACCGGATATTGAGCGTACGTGAATATATTTACAGGGCAGGGTGCAGTAAGTCTGATCCGCTTTCATCGTGGCAGACACAAGGATGGATCTAGACTACAGTAAGTGACATCTGCCGGAGCCCACATCGTCTGCACCACCACCACAGAACGTACACACATGCGTATCTACATATCGAGATACAGGTAGGTCTGGAATCGCAACACCACGAAAAGCCAAGTTTTGGATTAGGGGTAAGGAATTTTGCGCAGTGCCGTGGAGTGCGTGTCGTCCCTTGGGGAATTCTGTCCAATACCGCGATAGATGCTCGTCATGTGTGCGTGTGATGCATCCGGTGCCTGCCTTCGACAGACAGCCAGAACGCCAGACAGACAGACAGACAGACAGGCCGGGTATGCAGATTCGTTACAATTCGAATGTAGGAACAAAAATTTGACTACACTCAGACGGCAGTTGGAGCTTGGACAAATCTCACGTGAGCGCGGCCGGAGTGTTCCCCCCAGTTTCGTGCTGTGGGTACATGTAGTAGGTACCCGTCAAACCTTGACCTTCCACAAAAAATGATCGTGCGACTTTCAAAATGAACGCTTTCGTTCACCCAAGAACATTTTCTGTCTTACCCATACATAAAACAACAACGTTGAGCTTTAAAGCTCGAAGGCAGAGAACTTGCCCCGCTGCGATGCTCCACGGCTAGACTAGATATATATCAGTGCTCACAACAGGTCTGAAACATCTGCTGGGGGGCAGACCCGGTGGTCGTTGATGAGGAAGTCCGTCATGAAGGGAGGCACGTTTCTAGTAGCCTCGCAGATATTGTGTGTGTTGGTGGCACTCTCGCGAGGACCCGGAGGCTGCAGAGGGGGCAGGTTGTTTTTGTGGTTTTCCAGTTGGCGCGCATGTCGTGGACGAGCAGGCGGGGAAATAAAAAAGGACTTCAGCACGTTTTACAAATATTGCGAGGTACGCATGTCGTGGACGAGAAGGCGGAGAGATTAAAAGGGCTTCTGCACGTTTTACAACTACTATTGCGCGGTACGTAGAGTGTCGAGTAGAGTCAAACTCGGGGGACACGTAGGGCCAGGCTACAGACGACTGATCTTCCATCATCCGAGAATGGTCCCCATCTACATACATTAGTACACATGCGCATCACCAAAATCTGCTTGTACTAGGTGGTATTAGGCTTTTTCGTTGTAGCTGTTTCCGGTTCAGGCGTTCGCTGCGTTACGTCTTGCACATGGTTCGGACCCGCACTTCGCCGCAGAGCATTTATTTACGTACAAGTCTACATGGCCAACCGGAAGCGACTGTGGCAATTACGCTGAATGTTACAGTTGGAGGAGATAACATATCGTGTGTTGTTCATCCTACGAACCAAGATGCACCCACTGCAGCGAGAGATGACAAGTATAGATAGATCCCGTGTTTCACAGCTGATATTGCGTTGTGGTAAAGTGCTTGCCAAATCATCTGCGATCAAGTGGGGGGAGGAGTGAGCATCCACGAGACAATTGATCCCTGAGTTCAAAACAAGAAACTTGAGGGATTTGGGAAGGAATTGTAAATAAACCTGTTCTTGGCCGGAGTTTGTCGGGCTGTAATGGCTGTTAGAACGGATTCTTAGCGTGTCTGGGGGCGCCTGCGGCTACACTATTGAGTTTCCGGACAAGGATGGGAACTGTTAGATATACTCGCAGCAGTATCTGGTCGTGAGGATCCGAGGGGGATACGTGTTGGGAATTTTGTGTGTTGAAGGGTACCACCGGCGCAGTCACGGGGACCCTTTGGGCGTGGTCGGTGCAATGATGAGGCTTGCGTGCGTGCTGCGCACTTCTTCCCTCTCGCTCTCGACCACCACCACCGTCTCTCTCCGATCAAGTTTCCTTCTCCCACTCTCTCTCTAACTCTCTCTCAACCTCTCTCTCTCGGCCTAACACGGCCGACTACCCAGTGCCCCAAAGAAACGTCCCGAACGTGCTTGCTGCACCTCACGTAGTTTACCTTTCACACTAGTGTTGCCGGTATCACGGTATCTGCGCGCGGGCGTAGCCTTCCGGGGGTTGTGCAGTCACGCGCAATCGGTAGACTCCCACAACAACATGAACCGTGGAGGTCATCGACCTCTCCGCCCTTAGCGGGGAAGAGCTACAGCAAAAAGTGGAGGAGATCGTCCAGCAACGAGTACAAGCCGAACTTGAAGCCAACAGGATCAACGAGGGTGAAGTCACCTACTCCCAACCACCATTAGCCGGCAACCCAGTCCCACCTACCGGCAGCCAGCCATCACCCTCCAGCCAGGGTAAAACAGCTACCTTCAACGACCCCAGCAGCGTCGCACACATCGTGGCGCAAGCGGCCAAGGCGACAGCTGAGGCCATCGCTGAACAACAGGACTTTGCCCGCTCGGGGACGTTACGTGTCAATCCTGGCTCAGAAATAGAACCTTGGCTTGGTAGCGTGAAGAATGAGCAGGATTTGTATATTATGTTTGATATTTTTCGTAGTAAGATGATTTCATATTTTCAGGAGGAGGGTGTGCATGATGCGTTGGAACTGGAGGTCGAGGTCAAGGTCGGGAAGAGGGGTGTGAATATAGGAGACCTTCGGAGACTTTTTGGGAATGAAGTGGTAGACAAGTCATTCAAACTGTGGAATATCCTGATAAGCAAGGTTTTGTATTCCCCGATTCAGAGCTAAATTCTGGCGTGTGAGAGTCCTCAAAAGGGAAAAGGGCTGGAAAATCATGAGAGAATTCTATCAGGAGAAAAAGCAGTCAGAAAAGTCGAGGTTGGAGCAGGACTGGAAGGAGTTGGAGATGAGAGAGTCCGAGAGTCCACAGGATTGCATTGCCCGCTCAGAGGCCCTTCGCCTGCGTCTCGCATCTGTAGGCACGATTAAGGATGAAACAGATGCCAACATAGACATTGCTCGGGGCCTTCCCCCTTCGTTGTATGCCGTGCAAAAAGGAATATTGCTTGCCTATGATGTCCTGACGTTGCATGCCCTTGAGACTGTGGTGAGGGACGCCCACGTGGAGATGGAGCGCGAGAGGAGCAAGGGGGAGAGGCGCGAGGTGGAGCTCGCTCTNCGGCGGGGGAAGTGGGGGGGCATCCGGGGGTCAAGACGGCGGTCAGGCAGCAGCTGGAGGCCAAAATCGTGACGGAGAGAAGAAAATTAGTGACGTGTTCAACGACGACCCCGGCGGATTTTGCCGCTACCACAAGTTCGAGCTTCACACCAACGAGCAGTGTCGTCCCCAGCAGCAACTGCGGCGCTCGCGTTCGAGAGAGGGAGCCGAGGAACGCCGCTCGGGCGGCGGCAGCCGCGGTGGCGGCGGTAGCCAGCGAGGGGGTAGACCGCCGCCGGGGCCAGGCCGCGGTGGCGGCCGATGGGTGAGGCTAGAAGGGCACCAGCACCACACCGGTCATGGTGGCGGTGGCTGGAGCCAAGCCTCACCCCCCCCCGAGACCTCTTCGTGGAAGTGGGCCCGGTGGTCGTCTGGGGCGTCACCCGGGGGGTCGTGGGCCCGCGGGACGCCACAGCAGCGACGGACGCTTCCTCCTCGTCCTCTACTCCTTCTCCTGGCGCGCCTCCATCTTCGGGCTACCTCCACCTCTGCACGGCACAATAGGTGCCCATAGGCAGGTCTCACCCTGAAGATTTTTTCAGTAGGATAGGAGTGACGATTGGAGTAGAGGCTGCTGCGTCTGCTTCGTCTTTGCTGAGTGTGGACTCTAGTGAGGGGCCGCCTGGTAGCGAGAGATGGGTAGCTGACTCAGGAGCCAGCAACAGTTTCACCGACAGCAGCCTACACATGTATGACCTGCAAGCGATCCCCGCCAGTAGGAAGTATGTCGTTGTAGGTGATGGTCGAATGCTAGAGGTGCAAGCCATCGGTAGTATTAATCTTAGTTTCTTTCAGGAGGATGAGAATGGCGAGAAAACAACGATGTGTGTGAAGCTCACTGACGTGTCTGCTGTAGAGAGCCTGAGTTTTAACTTGTTCTCAACGCATGCTGTTTCTCTGAAGCAACCAATCCTCTACGACGAACGTGGTGCAACCCAACAAAATGGACTGCTCTTTGCTAGAGAGGAAAAAGCGTCTGCAGCGTATGCCATGCGGTTACCGTACGACCCATCTGCGACTATTGTAGACCCTGCTGCTTTGCCCGCATTCGTGACTGCCCCCGATTCCGCCCCCGCCGTTGGCTCCGCGCGTTCCCCTTCCCAAAAGGGGGGCTCCGCGAAATCATTGGTGTCCATGTTGCCTATTCCTCCCGCTGTCTAGCGTAGTACCTTCGGCTGATAGCGTCCCGCCCACTGGTCCCACCAGGGTAGTACCTGCGAGTGAGAGCGTTCCGCCCGCTGGCTCTGCCGACGTAGTACCTTCCTCGGCGTCCGAGTTTGTGTGTGTGGGNCTATTCCTCCCGCTGTCTAGCGTAGTACCTTCGGCTGATAGCGTCCCGCCCACTGGTCCCACCAGGGTAGTACCTGCGAGTGAGAGCGTTCCGCCCGCTGGCTCTGCCGACGTAGTACCTTCCTCGGCGTCCGAGTTTGTGTGTGTGGGTACTTTTCCGGGTATGGATCTTGGAGATACGAGTGTGCTCACCGACGAGCAGCTCATGGATGGCTATGATGACACCCCGTATCAAGATTTTTTCCCCGTGTTTATCCCAGAGAGTGACGCTGCGAATGTGGCTGGTGTTTTGGATAGCATTGATGGGGGTGCTGATTTCAACTTGAGTGCGGCCGCGCTTGGCCCTGGTGCGTCCCCGTTTGCTCTTGGTTGGACTGATTAGTCCGTTGACATCAACCGCTTCCACCGCTCCCTTGCCCACGCTTGCGAGCCTCTTTTGAGAGAAACTGCCCAGCAGAGAGGCATCGTGCTCACCGGCAAGCTGGAACCGTGCACGGACTGCATGAAGGCGAAGGGCAGGCGAGCGTCGGTGCCGCGGGGGCCGGGAGCGAGGGCGTCCAAGCCTCTCGGGCGTGTTCACCTGGACCTGTGTGGACCGCTGGTGCCTTCCCTGGGCGGCAACCTCTACCTGTTCGTCGCCGTGGACAGCGCCTCGCGGTGGAACAAGGTCTACGGTCTCCGGCGGAAGTCCGACGCGCTGGCGGCAACGAAAAGGCTGCTGGCGGACGTGGGGCGGTACGACCTCGGGCGCGTCGAGTGTTTCCGCGTCGATAACGGCACCGAGTGGACCCGCGGCGACTTCCGGCGCTTCTGCGACGACAACGGCATCGGCGTCGAGTTCACACCTCCTGGCGTTCCGCAGGACAACGGCGTCGTCGAGAGCGCCATCTGGCGCATCATGAAGGCCGGCATGGCCGCTCG